ACAGAGTCTAGCCTTTGCTGGCTCGGCCACGCACCCCTCCGCCATCCTTCTGTTGGGAGGCAGAGTCTGGGGAGCTGGGGGCAATGCGTGTAAAGCTGCGGTGGTGTTTTGCTGCTCCCTAGCGGCTATTAGTTCACTTGCAAGCCAACTGACTTGCCCTTTAGACTTTGGCTGCTGGGCGTGGGATCTGGCGAGACCTGCAGGACCCCAGCTTGTGGGAATGGGGCAAGGATACAGACACCAGAAGTAGAGAGGTGCTCCTGGAGAACAGCCTCCCCCCTCTGTAGGAGACTCTGGGCCCCAAGCTTGTGGCACAACAATGGCCTCAATTGGGTTAGCTAGGTGAAACACTTGTCATGAATTACACGTGAGCCACGGGTCCTAACTGCATGATCTCATTCACTCCTGATGACAGCCTATGAGGTGGGTCCTTTGACCTCAACCAAAACACGGAGGGGTTAAATAAAGGCCACACATTTAGAAATAGCCAGGCTGGGTTTTGAATCCAGGTCATCTTGACTCCAAAATTCACGTAGCTGATGACTGAGTTTTCAATGTTGCAAGAACCTAGATCCATCTTCTCTGCCTGTGATCACTGAACACTTTCTGCTGGCCATTCTTCTAGAAGGGTGTGGAGGGGGTGACAGACAAGCTTTCACTTCCTGGTGCTAATAAGCCTCTTCCCCTGTGCCTTCTTTGGGATCCCCCTAGAGCCCCATGATATGCTGGCTTCAAGAGGGCTTCTGGGTGGTGGCCTAGTTGGGGAAATGATCTTGACGTGAATGGGGGTCTGGCTGGGATCCTGGTGACCACGTGGCTGGGTATTCTCAGGGGTGCCGTGTCTGGAGCTTGCATGAATCCCGCCCGGGCGTTTGGACCTGCCGTGGTGGCCAATCACTGGGACTTCCACTGGATCTACTGGCTGGGCCCGCTCCTGGCCAGCCTGCTTGTGGGAGTGCTCATCAGGTAGGAGTGTGACCCCGGGTCACTGGCCCCTCTGATCGGCCCCTGGTGATGGTTCCCAGAGTGCCCAAGGCTAACATCTCACTTGGGGTTGAAGAAGGGAAGAGGGAGGCTTCTTCAGAGGCAAAGATTATGTCTCTGGGACCTTTGGTTGTAAGGGACAGAAATCCATCTCAACACAGTTTATGTCACAAGGGGGAATTTACTGGCTCACATTAAGTGAAAAGTTCATGGGTAGCACTGGCTTTAGGTGGGTGCTCAAGCAATGTCTTTAGGCCTTGGTGTTTCCCATGGGTTCTGCTCTCCTCTGAGCAGGCCTCATGTTCTGAAAGGCTCTCCAGGAGAGGGCAAGATGCTCACCAGGAACTCTAGGCTTATATCCCAGCAGCTTAAAAACTCCAGAGGAACTAGAACAAGGGCTCTAGCAAAAGTCCAGGGTCTGATGTTCACTGGTTTGGATTGGCCCAGGTTGGGTCATGTCCATCTCTGAATCTATCACTGGAGCCATGGGGGTCAGGCATGCTTATTGGCTGTGTCTGGAGTCGGGGCAAGGTCAGCCTTCCCTGCACAACCATGTGTACCAAGGGTGGGGGAGGAGTGGTTCCTCACAGGGGTATTGTACAACTCCAGGGGGCCCCATCCACAGAGAAAACCATGTACATGGTGCCCCCGAGAGCATGCCTGCTAGCACGTGCCATTCACATGAACTACAGTGTAACCAGTGCTCCCTGGCATTGTGCGGTATTAGCAGAAGGAGCATATCTACGTGACTGCTTCTTCCTGCACTCTCGTCTTCTGAACCTCCAAGGTCTGTAGGGTCCTGTCTTTTCTGCTTCTGGTCATATGGGGATTAGGGCCTGGATCTGGTACAAGTTGGACCTTCCTCCCACAGTCTGGGAGAGCACCGTCGCTGGGTTGGCTTGGTGTGAAGTGTCTGCCATCATTGCTCATCCACAGTCCTGGCTTAGCCTGATAATTCTCTGTCTGTTGCTTTGGGAATGGCAGAGATGAGCATCTTCAGGGAAAGAGTTGGAACACAAACAGGAAGGAGTTTCTCCCTTTCCCCAAGGGGATTTGACTATTGAGGCTGGAAAGGCTCAGGAAAGCGTCTCTCTGGAGAATTCTGGGCCTGGAGACCTTCGGTGAAGGGCTGGGTCTCTCTCCTCAGAGGCTCGGAGATCTCACAGGGCCATCTTTTCTGTAGGCTCTTCATTGGAGATGGGAAAACCCGCCTAATACTAAAGGGACAGTGACACCGAGCTGGAGGCTTTCCTGCGGCCCAGGTGGCTTCTGAGGACCCACCCAGGTTACAGACGGGCCACCTCCTGCATTTCCTGCTGGGGCAGAGGCCCAGAGCAGCCGCCCACCTGCTTCCCACCCACCCCTCCCCCCGGTTGCCTGGCCTCCCAGATGACACACCGCTGCCAAGTTTTGAGGATGCTCTAGGTTCTCCGAATTCCTTCATGCTCATCAGAGACCTCAGCCTGGGGAGCGCGTTGCCAGCCCTGCCCGGCCTGGTACCACACAACAGAGGGGTTTTTCTTGACCAGGAAGCTCCCAGGAGCAAAAGAGCAGTTGGAAGAGGTGGCTGTTTACATATGAGTTCATTTCCTCCACCCCCTTTCTTCTTCTCCTGGCCCCGGACTCTTCTGTTACAGAGGGGCCTGCTGGGCAGTTTCCTTGCTTCCTGAGCTGCCAATCTAGCCTTGCAATAAATAGTCCAGTGTTTCCTTTGGCGTGGACTTGCTTTTTGCTTCAGAAATGAGCACTGCTGGGGAGGAAGCAAAAGTCCAGGTTGGGCCTTAACGTCCCAGAGTCTAGTTAGCTGGGCCCTGGCCTAGAGTCCAGTGCTAAGGTAGGTACTTAGGATGCAGGCCACCCCAGAGCCCATCTCCCACTCAGCCAGACCCATCTTGGACCTCTGCCGGGAGCTCAGATCACAGTCTGCATGGTCCTGCTGAAAAGCCCAATGCAAGAGTCCAGGGTTTGGGGTAGTGCCCAGTACTACCTAGGATATGGACCAGCCCACTCAGGGCACTCCGCTTGGGGTGAGGGTGGGGATGGGGGCAGGCCAGAGGGGCAAGGATCTCCCGAGGAAATTGATAACATGGCATAACATGGGTCTGGAGAGACAGTGGTCTTTGGATGCAAGATACAAATATCACAAATAAGGAAGGATTTTTCAGTCCTTCCTTAAAGAGGAAAATGCTCACTAGAGAAAATCACCAGTATGTTTCAAGGCTGCCTGGTGAGAAAGCGGACATGCGACATGCCCAAACAGCCAGAGCAATTTTTGGAGGAAAGGAAATAAATAATAATAACAGTAATAAACCTAAAAAAAAAGAGGAAAAATACAAAGGGAGGAAATATGAAAAAAAAACATGCAAATTAGAACACTTACAAAGAGTGAAAAGTGTTAAAGGTTACTGTTTCATTTGGCTAAATAAGTAATGAAATAAGGTTTTGGTAAATCTAGTAAATAACAAAATAGTTATATACACATGCGTGCACAGCTAATGCGGACTATGTTATGTGCTCGGCACTATGCAGACTGCATAGTCTCGTTTACTCCCCACAATGACCCTCTGAAGCAGCACAGTGGGTTGAATAGTGTCCTCCCACATCCATGTCCACCCGGAACCTCAGAATGTGACCATAGGTGGAAATAAGGTCTTGGCAATGTACTTAAGGTAAGGAGCAATCAAGGTGAGATCATGCTGGGTTAGGGTGGGCCCGAAATCCAATGGGAGTCCTTAGAAGAGACAGAGAAGGACAAAGAGAGACACAGAAAAGAAGGCCTGTGGAGAAGGGTGGGGCAGACTGGAGTCACGGAGCCACGTGCCAGGACCAAGAGTCCCCAAGAGCTAGGAGCTAGAAAGGGTTTTCCCCTACAGCCTTGGAGGGAGCGTGGTCTTGCTGACACCCTAATTTCCAACCCTAATTGGTGGCCTCAGAACTGTGGGGGAATAAATTTCTGTTAAGTCACCCAGTTTGGGGTAATTTGTACAGCAGCCCCAGGAAAGTAATACAGACAGGCACTTTGACCCTTCTAATCTTTCAGAGGAACAGATGGAGGATCCAAGAAATGTTTCCCGTCCCCCAGCTGCATTCCTTTTAGTTCTTAAACACGAAAACATTCTTTCTCCTCCCTTAAAGTCTAATCGATGTAACTGGCTTATAGGAATTGAAAATTTGTAGCCCTTAAACATTTGTTTTTCCCTTAGAGGTTTAAAGTCTCTCATCCAATTCCCAGACATGAGTCAGTTCACAGACTGAAATGTCGGTGAGGGAATGGAGGCCAGGTAATCTGGGACAACACTGATAGAACGTCGCACTTCTTCCCCAAAGGCTGTGGCCATTTAAAACTCACAAAAAACCTGGAACATTTCCGGTGGCTCTCCGACACGGACTCTGGGCAGTTGTGATTCTTGAGGACGCTGGGTACCACTGCAGCCAGTTGCACAGAGCAGAGGCCTGTAAAGCCTGGGTGAGAGAGACGTGCAGTCTCCCCCACCTTCAGGTGGGCAGCTCTCTGAACCCACCCAGTAGGTCTTCCTACGGCGCCTGCCAGTTTAGCTGGAAATACATCCTTGCCAAGTGGCCCAAACCTCCACTTGACTCTCTGACCCGTGGAGTTGACACTGTTAGGGGAACAAGGGTGAAATGGGGCTCTGAACTAAAACAGTAAATCCAAAGCCACACTGTCTCTTTGGGGACATTGTTGAGACTGGTTCAAACCACAAGGAAAGGCTATGGGTCGGGGCCTCACCCAGAACACATGAGCTCCGTGCATCCAGGGTGAACTCCACCCTAGAGTCAGAGACCTTGCTGGGCACGGTGGCAGAGACAGCTCTCCAAGGGCTACAGGCAGACAGCTGGGGAGGCACGAAGGCTCCTGGGAGGTGTGGGGAGAGCAGGGAGCTGAGATCATACTGAGACTCTTTACAGAGCTACCGGGATCTGCTTTTATGACCTCTTGCATAAGTTCTCTTTTCCTTTAATGGAACACCTTCAAATTATGGCAAAAACCACAGGAGTCATTTATTTTTGACATTTATTTCACAGACAAGTTTTCAAGAAGACATCTAAGTGAACGTGAATACAAAACAATGAAGAGACATACATTTATACCTGGAATGAACTCAGAGGCCAAAGCTAACAGCCACGCAAGCTGCTCACACACGCCTTGAGTCTGGGGCTTCCCCAGCTCCTTCCTAGCGGAGTCCCGTTCATCACTGGGCATCAGACCTCACATCCAGGCTTTCTTCACTGCAGCTACCTGCCGTCGGCTACCAAGGAGCCCCAGGGGCTGCCTGCTGGCGAACATGTGTCTTTTCTCATCACTGCACAAGCTCCCGGGCTGCTCACGGCCTCCCTCTTCCTAAAGTATGAAGTAGGTTCAGTGTGGCCTGGATGCCACCTGCCGGGGCAAGCCAGGCTGGCTACCTAGTCTTACATGCATTATAGATGCATACATATGCATCGTCTTCCTGACCTACACCCCGCCACAGTCTCACTAAACACTAGAGCCAGAGCGTTCTCAGCAATCAAGTTCAACGTCTCTCCGGATAAGGAACACCAGCCCAGAGAGGCTGAGGTTTGTCAAACAACACTCAGTAAGTGATAGCGACAAGACTGAAATGTGTCCCTTTTGGCTTCTGGTCTAATGCTTGCTCCCCCAGGGCAGGCCGCCCTGAGCGGTTTAAGCGAATGTGTGAAGTTTCCTTCTTTAAAGATTTATGAACAAGTCAGGTTGTATGTGTAATAAAATCACTGGTAGAAACTGGAGGTATTTGTGGGGGTAACAAAGCAAGTGTAGGCAGGGAATACAAGCCAGTTTCCAAAGTGCCCTGGGTAAGATGTCAGAGAATAAAATGTCCGGTTACTTATACTGCTTTTAAAAAATAGGATTTGGGGTAAATTTCAAAGAAATCAGATAGGATTAAACAAATAGAGGTTTTAGGTAGTTGGCTGAGGTGGCTTGGTATGTTTTGTTGAGCTTTCCAGCAGCCAGAACAAAGACAGAAAAGCAATGTTATAAAAATCACAGTGTTTGTAATCCTTTTTTTTTTTTTTTTCCTATTTAGGATCAGAGCTTTCCCTGGTACTGAGACCCAGAGAAAAACCTTTTCCTATGGATCTTCATAAAGGCAATGCTATGTGATATAAAAGACACATTATTCATTCTGACTTTCATGCTCCAGTTGAGAAAAGACAAGATGCAAGTCATCTTGGTCTAAGATGGTGGGCAGGACCTTCTATTTCTTCAGCACAGAGACAGAGTTCATGAAGGCAACTTAGCCCACGTCCAGACAGCCTGTTTACCACTAGGAACGCAGGCAGGGGAACCCGGGCTCCACCTTTGTGTGGCTCCAGACGAATGAAACTCACACAGACTCAGTCTGTTCCACCTGAGATGGAATGGGTCCTGCACTTTTCCTGCCACTGGGGACGTCGGAGAGCAGAGGTACACAGTTTGAGGCAATTCAGAAGAACGTGATTTTCTCATGGTGGAGTCACTGACCTTTTGCAAGTGCCGAGAAGGGAACGAGCATTAATTACCTTTGCTGCAGTGCCTCCTCTGTCACACCGCCAGTTCCCTGAGCCAGGCCACCGAGTCTGTCTTCGCACGCCCTCACTGTGCCTGGAGTACGGTCTTACACGGAACAGTACTTAATACATACTTAGGAATAAATCATCTACCTTCCTGAATCATGCTTCCATATAATTATCAATCCTGTGTATGTCTTACTAAGTGGTGATTTCTATTCATGGGCATCTTCTCTAGGGCTGGAATTCCAGAACATCGACACGATACAAGCACACGCCCACAGGCACTGCACGCATCTCACTGTGCTAGGCACACAAACGACATGACACTGCACTTAACCATTAGAAGCCTAGGATTCAGAGCACACGTAGGAAATCAACCTACTGAGGTGGGAACAGTTGTAACATCTCCAACGAATGTAAATCGGAAACATGTATCAATGTGTACCTGAGTCACCTGCCTTCCAGCAGGCCACACCCTATTTTGGGATTTCTTTCTACACTGCCTGCCCTCCTCGGAACTCTGCTGAACCGGCTTCGAAAGATTCAAACATCCTCAAAGGAAAAATATGATCTCCAGATGTCTTCAAATACGATAACATCTGACAAAGGAGAGGAGAGATCAGATCAAAAGAATCTCTGCACAGCCCTGACTCTGGCTGTCCTTCCACCAAACTTGGGACTTCCCCTCCCCAAAGCAAAGCCGCCCCCGATTACTTACATAGTAAGGGCATAAATGTCACTGGCCTCATCCTGGAGCAACCAGCCTTGGAAGACCAGATTCTGTGGTTTCATCTGTAACTTCCAGGAATGAATTAACTACCTCCCTGCCTCTCCCCTCCCCATTTTGACTCTTCCTTCAATACCTGTTGGGTTAGTGCTAGGGGATTATCAAAGAGGTTTTTCGGACAAATACGTAAATGAGGAAAACGACAATAGTGTTCTAGACTGGAAGTTTCTGTAATTTCTGTAAATCTTTCCACTTTCACTCAGTAAGCTATAGAGTTCTATAAATTACTCTGGGCTCTACAGTTAGGTGGGTAATCCTATCAACAGGGACTAGAAGCCTCAGAAAAGGCTGATTGTATTTAACAAACAGCCCTGGAGGTGGTGGTCTGAATGAGCAGCTATCTGATCTAGAGCAGGCCTAAGGAGTCCGACTGGTCTTAGAAATAGTGAAGGTTTCCGGTTTCTACCACACTTCTTCCCTACCCCCTTAAAGTTTGAGAAAACTATTAATATATAACATTATACTGAAGTGTGGGGTTGGGAGGCATAAAATATGCCAACATGCCAGTCATGTTCTAGGTAAGAACTAGAGCAGAGGTAGGGTAGAACATGTCTAAGATTCTACTTTCTTTTAATGAGACACACCACGGGCATGCATCCTATTTAATCTGGGGAGGGCCTGGTAGCTCAGGAGAGTCAGACGAGAGCACCCAGAACACCTAAGAGGTAAGTGTAGGACTTTCAAGAAATGATAAGAGGAACTGGATTACTCAGGGGCTGGAGAAGCAGCAGACAAGGGGGTCGTCTTCAGGTCCAGAAAAGGTCCGATTGGTCACGGTCATTTTCTTCTCATCTCTATGGAGGGCGAGGCGTTAGTAATGTGGCTTCAGGGACAATACGGGGACTCACCCTAGTTGTGGGGATTGATGTGACACAAAAGCGTATAGTGCAACAGACTTCTAAAGGAAGCTGTAGAATCTCAATCTCCCAAGTATCTTCAAAACCAAGATGCACGTGGTGTTGTCCTGATCCTGATCAGACTCCTGAAAGTTCTACTCCAACAAGAAATCTGGGATCAAGTTGCATCCGGGCTCCCACGTGGTGGACAAGAGGAAACTTTCAGCATGTCAGGTCTGCTTGAAAACAACTCTCAGCTACATGGAGGGACCTTGAATGTTGCTGGACTTGGCAGTCCCACAGCAGAGGCCTCGACATACTGAAGGAACCCAGACAGGACAGTCTTCTCCACTTTGCTAAGGGAGAAGTTGAGAGGAACAGACTGGTAAAGTTAGAGGCGGAGGTGAGAAGACGAGGTGGTCTCTTAGCTGATTTATATTCTCAAGCTTGTCTTGGGAATTAACACTTCATAGCTAAGAAAAGACCGCTTCCAAGGGTGACGGTGGGGAAAAAATGGCTAATGGGGCACATAGGAGGAGAAGAGGTCAACGTCAAAAAGTTTTCCTGAATTCATCAGTCTTTCCCTTAGGTGGGTTCTCCGGGGAATACATGGAGGGTGGATGTGGCAGAAGCTTTTCTCTCGAATGAACTTCCCGATGTTTGGTGAGGACAGAACTCTTACTGAAACGTTTGCCACACTGGGCACAGCCATAGGGCTTCTCTCCAGTATGTATCCTCCGATGCTCTCGGAATCTTGTACAGTTACTGAAACTCTTTTCACAGTCCACACATTTGTAGGGGTTCTCGCCAGTGTGCACCCTGCGGTGGGCGCTGAAATGGGAGCTGTTGGTAAAGCTCTTCCCGCACTCCCCACACTGATAGGGCTTCTCTCCAGTGTGGGTTCTCTGATGTATGATAAGACTCGAGCTCTGACTAAAGCATTTTCCACATTCCCCACACCTGTAGGGTTTCTCCCCGGTGTGGATTCTCTGGTGGGCACCAAAGTTGGAGGAGTCATTAAAGCTTTTCCCACAGTCAAGACATTTAAAAGGTTTTTCTCCGGTGTGGATTCTTTGATGTCTGATTAGGCTCCTGCTTCTACCAAAGCACTTCCCACAGACACTGCATTTATAAGGATTTTCCTTCTGGTGGGTCATCCGGCACGTAAGACGAGCATTCCTTCCAAAGCTTTCTCCGTATTTGAGCAGTCGGTAGGGTCTCTTCCCCATGAAAGGCCTCGGATGCACTACAGCTTTCCCTAAATCTCTCGGCTGAGACATCAACTTTCCCTGTCTGAAGCCTTGAAGGGTTTCCCATTGTCTTCCTGAGATGCATTCCCTTTTATGGTATTTACCTGGATCAGCGTTCTGGGAAATGACCCTTTTAGACTTTTCTATTAATGCCCTATGCTGCTCCAAGTCCTTATATATTACCTGTGTTGTATCCTCCTTGATACTACCTCCAATTTCAAAATCTGAAAGGAAAAAAACAGATGATAAAAATTCCAAACCAGTCCTGTATTATGTATTAACATAAACAACACAGCCGACTCATCTGTGTTAGGATGCCTGCGTACTTCTCTGACCTCTCAGGTCCTGTTACCCATCTCTGATTCATTATGCCTTATTTTCATTCAGCTCTATGAACAGCCAGTAATACCTAGTACAAAGTAGGCCTTCAGAATGTTTTCTGAATGGCACTGAAATCCAAGCCGTCATTCCCCATACAGATCCTGAGTAATGGCGGACGAACTTAGCTTTCTCCCTGAAGTTCTACTCCCACTCACCCTGCTTTCAAAATTTCACATCTGCGCTTAAACACACCATACCAACGTTCAGAGCAGATTCTAGTGATCAGGTTCCAATTCCTCAATGGACTTCCATGTTCATCAATATCTGATTATATCCTACCCAAGGCTATTTCTTCTCCTCAAATGTCCTTGGCCCTGTTTTTTCCAGCTGTCTCACACACGTACCTGGATCCAACTTAACTCTCACACTCCCCACACTGGAATTACCTTTCCCTCACTCTCTCATCTATGTCCCATGCCCACTGCAAGGGGCATCCTGGATACCAGCTTTTCCAGCAGGTCTTTTGGACCGACAGGCTTTGGAATCACAGAGCTCTGGTTCTGATTCCATCCTGGTCACTTATTAACTGCATGGTTTTATGTGAACTTTTTATTATGGAAAATTCAAACATACAGAAAAGCAGAGACTACAACAGTATATAAAATGAATTTCCACGAACCACTCAGCCCGCATTAGTGATGATCTCCTCGTGGCCAATCTAGTTTCACCTCTATTCCTACCCACTTTCTGCTCCCTCTACCCAGATTATTTTGAATCCAATTCTCGACATTGTATTATTTCATCCAGGTTTGTTTGGTCTCCAAACCCTTGTTCTTAAGCATTTTGCTATGCTGCCTTGTTTCTACTTGCCAGTTTCCACATCCCTGTCCTTGCATACACTGAGTTGAAATTGCTGATATCCCTCCGCCCTCCGATCCCAAGTGCGGCGGTTTGGCGTGGGTTGGGAGAGGACAGCAGCCATCAATCAGTCCATTAAGTTAAGTGAAAGCCCCAACAATGCCATATTTCATTTAGGAGTTCTTCTGAAGCGTTCTTATTAGGTCCAACATCATCCTGGGATTTGTAGGAAATCACAGCCTCATGGTTGGCTCAGATAGAGTCTGACAATTTAGTGTCAGGTCTGCAGCTCAACTTAAAAAATGAGGTTCACAAGGGATGGTACCAAAAGATTTTGTTTCCTGGAATCAAAACGTGGGTTATAGAGGACTTAATGATTTCAGACTTCAAACTAATTTCCCATATAAACACTAGCAGGAAGCATATGTACGCCCCTTCTCTAGTGTTTTATTTTGAGTGAGCAGAGTGCTGGAAGGAAAACAGTAAGAGGTAAGGACAGGAAGATAAGATGAGCTCAGACCGAGGGCAGCTGTGGAGCCGTAATACAAGACTGATGGGGAAACCTGGTTTGGAGACTTTTACAAAAGTCTAGGTAAGAGACAGAGAAAGGCTGAACTGTTCTCACCACAGGTAGCAGCTGTGGTAACTAAAAAAGGGACAGATGGAAGTTCTACAACAGTTGGGAAAAAAAGCGTTCTCTGCTTGGATGTAAATAATGAGAGAGAAAGCATCAAAAGTGCCTCTGAAGTTTTAAGTCTGGATGTGGGAGGACACAGGGAAGAGCCAAGGTGCGGGAAAGAAGACAGTGATTTTAGTTTTAAAAATTTTAAGTCTGGGCTGCCATGCGGACAGATGCCCACAAGGGTGCCGGCAGTCCGTGGGAAACGAGCAGGTGGGGCAGAGAACCAGAGGCAAGTCTCTCTCTCATTTTGCCCCTGCCTGTCCTTTTCCTCATGCACATCATGAAGGACTGAGACGTTTGTGTCTTGAGCCTATGGACACACCTCCTTCCTCTGACTTTTTTCTCATGTATAATTGCAAGTTCTTCTTCCCCATGGAATTTGCAGGTGCTATGAAACACTGACCCATACAGACAAAATCCGAGGCTGAGGTCTCAAAGACTGCATCACTAGAATGCCAGGTCCCTCCTTGAATGAAGTGCCACAAGAAAGATGCTTTGATTTACTCATTGCTAGATCCCCCGTTCCTCACACGGCACAGGCCCCTCAAATGCCTGTTTAATGAACAGACTCATGAGCAATATGCCCAGAGTTACTGATTCTTCAGTAAATCACACTTCCCCCTCAATGGTTCTTACCACTTACCGCTTTGCAGTAGACCCTGAGGCCCCTGGAATTCCGACTCTTGCACAATTTCCTCCTCACTCATTCTCTCGCTACCAGAATCTTCTATCATCGCCTCTTGTGAGGCCTCCTCAGGTTCCCAGCCTGTCGGTTCCTGGGGTTCAATCTCAACATCCTCTCCTTCTTGCCCTGAAGGTGATGGGACTTCTGGAGTGTTGGTGGAAGGAGTGGAGGCCCGAGCGTTTATCAGGGCATCCATCTCCTTGTAGAACGCACACGATTCCAGCACGTGACCGTTTTTCACTTTGCGGTAGCTCTTCTGGAGGCTTTTGAACTTGGTCCGGCACTGTTCCGGTGTCCGGAGGAAGCCACACTCCCGAAGTTGTTCCGCCACGGCCCCATACAGCTTGCTCTTCCGATGACAGGCTTGGAGAGCTTCGTAAAACCGAGTCTCACGGAGGATATCAAGAAAAGTCTTGGTTTCCTCGTACCCCCAGTGCACACCTGCCACGGAAGGAAAAAATACAAAGATATAAGAAAAAACGTCTGCAGCCTCGAAACATAAGGGGTAAAAGAAAACAGATCCCCTTCATTGTGGCAACAGGAACTATGACATGCCAGGGGAGAAGATGTGCAAAAAATGAGAGGGTCTATATAAAAAAATCTATAATTTACTGAAAGACATAAATAAACTAGAAGAAATGGAGAGACACTATGTTTCTGGATAGAAAAATTCAAGTTGTACGGATATGAACTCTCAAATGAATTTAAGTTAACATCCTGATAGGATTTTTAAACTGAAATTGTTAAACTGATCTCACAGTTTATTTGGTAGAGTAAGAATGTAGTCCCTCAGATCTGCCATTGCTTTGGCGATTAACCAAGGATTCGGCGGACTTTTAAAAATGGTTAAAACTAGGGACACCTGGGTGCCTCAGTCGGTTAAAGTTATCTGCCTTTGGCTCAGGTCATGATCTCAGGGTCCTGGGATTGAGCCCCGCATTGGGTTCCCTGCTCAGTGGAGAGCCTGCTTCTCCCTCTCCCTGCCGCTCTGCCTACTTGTGCTCTGTGTCAAATAAATTAATAAAATCTTTAAAAAAAACAAAACAAACAAAAAACCCAAAATGGTTAAAACAGACTAGGACACTTTTTTTAACCAGTCTTCCTTAAAGAGCAGAACTACAACCAGAGTCATTTTTGAGGTCACTGAGTCCTCTACTGTGAAAGATGAAATGACTTGCAAGATGAACAGATGTTCTGCTTCTATGGCAGAATCAAACTTTTCAGGACATGTCTGCATACAGTTTGTTAAACTATGCTTTTTGTGTGTTTTGTAAGTAGGAAGAAGTCACTTCTATGCTCAGTCTTACCCCGTGCTCTCCTCCAGGGCTAGCCCTGCATTCGCACACTTGGGACTGCCCTCCTGTCTATGGATTTCCAGATTGGGGAACACCTGTACATGCATGATGCATCTTCCCCGTGTTTTCCTGAGCTGTCTCTTTTGAATAGATGTAGTCATCAGTGCACCCCAGCTCTCCTAGCCTGATTTATTTCTCCACTCTAAGAACTTACCATCTTTTTTAAAAAAGATTTTTTTTTTGAGAGAGAGAAAGGGAGGAAGCACAAGTAGGGGGCAGAGGTAGAGGGAGAAGCAGGCTCCCCACTGAGCAAGGAGCCCAATGTGGGGATCAATCCCAGGACCCTGAGATCATGACCTGAGCCAAAGGCAGACACTAACTGATGGAGCCACCCAGGAGCCCCTAGAACTTGCCATCTTTTCATAAGGTGGCGTGGAGAAACTTTCCTAGTAACACCTGGCAATGTCTCACTGCATTTCACCAAAATAGTCTCTCATTTTGCCTGGCCTATCTTTTACATGCATATTATGAAGAACTGAGATGTTTGTGTTTAACATCTGCAGAATGCCTTCCCCAATTTTTATCTATTACCTCATTTAACACTAATGATCCTGGAATCCTCAGTCACATTTTACTGATGAGAAAAATGAAGCTCAAAGTACTTACAGGATGTGTCTATTGTCACCCAGTTGTTAACCGCCAGGTTAGTTCTGCACATCCCTAATTTCAACACAAGCTTTCGTATATATCGTATGCACTGTATCTTTTTCTACCTTTTAATTTCAAGGTCTCTGTGTCATATACTTAAACAAGTATCTCTTGTAAGCAATATTTCATTGTTTTTTTAAATGACTGATAATCTTAGTCTTTTAAGTTTGTAACTAATGACATATTTGGACTTATGTCTACCATCTTACTGTGTTTTCCATTGGACTCATCTACTTTGTGTTCCTTTTTCTCTCCTTTCTTGTCTTCTTATACAATTACAATTTTTTAAAAAAGATTTATTTGTTTAAGAGAGAAAGAGACAGAGAGTACAAGCAGGGGGAGAGACAGAGGGAGAAGAAGCAGACTCCCTGCTGAGCTGGGAGTCCAATGTGGGACTCCATCCCAGGACCTGGAGATGGTGACCTGAGTCAAAGGCGGACGCTTAACGATCCGAGCCACCCAGGTGCCCCTACGATATTTTACTTTCGTAAGTTATATATTCTTTTACTAGTTATCCTAGATAGTATAACAATGTATCTTTGCCTTATTACAATCCGACACAACGGGCTGCTTTATACCAATCCTCAGATATGGGCTCTCCAGAGTCCTCTGACTCTATTTACCTTCCTTCCACAGGCTGCAAATATTCAAATCCATGCTGTGCTCTAGCCTGAGAAAGAACCTTCACGGCCATTACTCAGACTGCACCAGGGGCAGCAGCAAACACCCGAGAGTACGTTCAGTGGTTAGTGGCAAGGCGCTCACGACAGCACTCCCCAGGTTTGGCGGCCTCTGGTCTACTCAGTCCTTTTACCACAAGCCCATATCATCCATTTTCATATCCGAAGAAAAGAGCACAATTCTTACCACTCAGGTTCTGAAACAAGACAGGGGCACCACGAATCTCAGACTTCTGGATAAATTCAATGCCCATTTCATCACCATCAGATTCTTCTGCGGCGTCTTCTTCCTCCACCAAACTGATCTGTTCTTTAGCACTGATATCAACTCTCTTTAGTCTGGGGAGAGAGAGAATTTCCTTTGGCTTATCAGCAGATGAAGCATGGGCTGCAGGGTTCAACAGAGCGTCCATGTCCTCAAAGAAGGCACAGGGTTCCAGCATGTGGCCATTTCTCACCTTCCGATAGCTCTTCTGGAGGCTTTTGAACTTGGTCCGACACTGTTCTGGCGTTCGGAGGAAGCCACACTCGCGCAGCCACTCGGCCACAGCCCCGTACACCTGGCTGTTTCGGGGACAAGCCTGCAGCGTCTCATAAAAGCGAGACTCCTTGAGAATGGCGAGGAAAGTCTTCGTTTCCTCATAGCTCCAATGCACGCCTGCTATCTTTTCATCTTCTAAACCCCAGTGCTGCTGCTCACCCCACATTCTCCCCACACTGCGCGCCGGGATCTGAGTGGCACCAACCGGCTTCTCCTTGACGTGGTTGCTTCGTAGAATAATATTCCTTTTGTTAGAAGAGTGTAAACCTAAGGTCCATGGCTCCTTTCTTTGCTCCAACCGGGCAATCTTGTTAGACACAGACACAGTACTTCCTACGGGAAGAGAAACACATTTCATGCAAAACCAGAGGTCAGAGCTGCATGCCCTCATCTGCTGCCCTCCCAGACACTTGTTCACACCTATCCTTGAAAGGTCTTGTCCAATCCCCCCCTCTTCTAGAGCCTTCCTCAACCATGACAGAGCACAGCACGGGCATTCTTACTACCTATGGTATAGTTACAGTTATCCTTACACCTCTCGTCTTTGGCACCATCATCTACTAAACTTACGTTATGTTAGTTCTCCGGTATATACCATTTCTTTCTCTGGTTAGTTCTAAAGGGAAGACCTTTAAGGGTAAGATACATTCTATTACCTTTGATTCCCTCTCAAGTGTCTAATGTTGTATTGGGTTCAGCACCTGCTGTAACCAGTATTTGTTACTTATAGAACCAAGTGTGCTTGTATTTGCTCCCCGCATATTCCCACCCCCACCCCAACACATGTGCGCATGCACACTGGGGCTAGGAGAGATACGTCAAGAATTTGGGGATACATGTGGCAAGGTTAATAGGAAAGAGATGGAAGGACAGGGAAGCACACGGAGTCTGTTGCCTCACAGCGCTGTGGAGATCAACATGTCTTACATGTGAACCCTGACCCACTAAACCCTGCTTTACTTTTGGACCAGGGGGAAGTTTCTTAATCTCTGAGCTTTGGTTGCCTAAGGAATGCTGGCCTCCATTCACAGAAATGCCAGGAATATTAAATAAATGATTGTCTGTAAAGTATCCAATGCCCAACAGGTATGTAATAAAATTTAGTTTTCTTCTCTAGATAACACATACATAGAAACTTCACAGAATTGTTGAGAGAAGGAGCATCACATCAAATCCTTTCTGAAAGAACACTGGGGATGGAGATTTGCTCTTTATTTTTACATGAGAGAGGTAAGTGTAGGGTTAATCAAAGCTTGAATATCTATAAGGACCAGGCAGGCAGTGCAAATGAGTGAGAAACACGGCAGTTCAGCACGAGCTCCTGCGTTCAGCTCTAGCCAATCACTGCTATGTGAGGAGGTGGGCCCATGGTGTCTGACATTTGATTTTTCAAGAGATACAGGATATCCAGATTTACAAACTAATAGTAAATTAAAATGCTGTGCAAGGCCAATGTATGTGTATAGGCTAGATTCAGCCCATAAGCCATTAGTTTACAACCTATGATAAAGGATTGGGGCAGGTGTCTCTGGACCTGGGTCTTTCTACATGTCATCACAGTCGACCCTTGAATGAAGCGGGGCTCAGGGGAACCAACCCTGCACAGTTGAAGATCCGTGTATAACTTCTGACTCTCTCAAAACTTAACTACTAATAGCCTACTGTTGACCGGAAGCCTTACCAACAACATAGTCGATTAACATGTATTTTGTGTGTTATATATATCACATACTGTATGCCCATAATAAAATAAGTTAGAGAAGAGAAAAATAACAAAATCATAAGGAAGAGAAAATATATTCACATTTCTGTATGTATTTACTGAAAAAAAATCCATGTAGAAGTGGACCTATGCAGTTCAAACCGTCTTGTTCAAGGGTTGACTGTACGTATGAAGGTGCTGGGCTAAATCTGAATTTTCCAGGGATGATCCCCATCCTACTAGTGGCACACTTGACTCAGGACTCTCATGCAGCACACTCCTGGGTCCGGACGCCATGTGAGCTGAGGTCGCACTAGGAAGCACCTGCATGTGCAAACCTAGGCAGATGGCTGGGATGCCCACTGCTCTGGGACGACCGCCTTGCTACCACCGTGTCATCAGTGCCACTCTACATTGGTCACTGATTTCAGTTGCTTTAACTGCTTTCTAATTATAAATAATTGTTGGTGTATCTTCATTTGCTGAGTCTGGCATGGCCCATTTTATAATCTCTATACTTTACTATCTCTATGTAGTGTTGTCCAACAGAACTTTCTGGGATGACAGCAATGTTCTATAATTGTGCTGTCCAATACAGCTATCAAATATCCTGATGGTGGCTACAGTCACCGAGGAACTGAATTTTTTTTTTTTTTAAGATTTTGTTTGTTTACTTGACAGAGAGAGACAAAGCGAGAGAGGGAACACAAGCAGGGGGAGCGGGAGACGCAGGCTTCCCACTGAGCAGGGAGCCCGATGCGGGGCTCGATCCCAGGAGCCTGGGATCATGACCTGAGCCGAAGGCAGATGCTTAATGACTGAGCCACCCAGGCGCCTGGAACTGAATTTTTAACTTTATTTAATTGTATAAATTTAAATTGCCCTGTGTGACTAGTGGCTACCCTATTACCACATGTTTATAGCCTATCTAGTGTGGGTTTGTACACATTTTAAGCCTGTAATTTTATTAAAAATTAGTCTTCGACTTTTAACTTATGTATGAATGAACTGTGCTTACGCCCACTACTAATGTAGGTGACAAATCTTTCAGAAGTTTGCTTGTAAAGTGATACATCAGTGGTTATGTGTGCCCGTGAATCTCTGCTATTTAAGTCATTCACAACACACTACCAAGGTTATTGTGTTGAAATTACCTTTTTCCTTCCATCTGTAGGATTTCCATCCATCCAACAATTATTTGCTGGCCACCCACCCATGGGTCCAGCTGTGTGCAAAGTGTTGGGTTACTGCAGTTAAATAAGAACAAATCATACAAAGACCTTGTGACTTCATGGAGCTTTTAGTCTAGTAGGTACATACGTGTAAGCTTATATTTAAGTGGTATGACCATGACAGTCGTATATAACACCTCACCAATGTTTTCATCCGTAAGTTAGAAGAACACATATATATTTTAAACTGGAAGAGACGAAGGAGTGAGGAAGAGAGCATGGACAAGTGATTACTAGGTCTGGTGAGCTGGCCACAGAAACGACTAGACAACCCACGAGGTCCTTTAGGTGTTGACACTTAGAACTATTGTATTATCAGTAGAAATAAAGATATCAAAAATCCCCAAATCTTTTATGTGAAAAGGGAAAGAATCCTTACCCAGGGAGACCATGTTCCCAACACTCTCTTTCCTAATATCCCGGTACAGGTCTCTGTGAGCGGGAATCTGATGTACGCTCTTTTTGTAGGAAAAACCTCTCGCCATGTGGACATCTTTCACTGGTCCCTGTAACAACACTAACAGCAATGACTACCAAGATAACCACATGGGTCTTCAAAGGATGAATGATCATGGAGGAAACACAGAAGGGCCCCAAAGAAGAATTAAAATTAGGGAGCCAAGTGTGTATGATGTGCCAAATGAGGAAGATATTACAAAGAATCATAAGAGAGGTGATTCAGCAAGGAGTCTCATTAGTCAGACGGCTGGGTCCAGTCTTCCCTGCAAAAGGAGTCAGCGGGGAACAGTCTCTTGGAGGGAGTATAAAAGTTTGAGGACAGTGAAGGCACAGGAAATCCTTGGGACTGAATACCCTAGGAAGGCAGAGAGAAGATTTACAATGTACCTGAGACACAATAGGTAGTCGTGTGGTGGTTATTTCCTGATTCACGCTGTTCCATTCATTAGCAGGGGCAGGAACCCAGGGAGAAGGCCGAGCTGTAAGAAGAGAAAGAAACAATCAGGGTTCTGGGCTCTGGCTCTTTAATTCATGCACCTTCTCCTTTTAAGAAATGAGCATGTATTAAAAAAAACCCAGCAAATATAAATTGATCATTTCATCAATGATTTTAGAACAATGCCTGAAACCATGGTACATTGATGCAGGGCTCACAAACATGAATGCTTGCAGGGAGTTAGCAGGCAAAGTGCATCATGAAAGGGGCCAGGTAAGGAATGGGGGAACTGGAGAGCACATACACCACTGAAAGGGTATATTGCCAATGCCCACTTCCACTTAATGCTTCATTGTGAGACAATGGGCCTGCTATCATTAGAGCTTCTGATATTTTCAGGAGAAGCCAGAAATCTGGACTTTTGCATAAAATCTCAAAAATCTTAAACCTTGAGAACTAAAAACGAACAAATGAATAAAACTCCCAAACCAAAAACCCTTTGTAGGTAAGACACAAGTCTGACTTGGCATGTAAGTTATCAGTTTGCAATCCCTAGTATGAGTTCATCAGTGCTTTAACATGCTAAAAAAGTTAGCACATGTAGATACACAGTCCTGGACATGAAAGGCAAATACACAGTACACTACCTCAAAAGGTAGGAGGAAGATATATCCATGTATACAAGGCACAGTCTGTGGTTTAACTTCTACTCTGGAACTTGCCATCTAGGGAAAACTTCCAGAATGAATATTACTGTGATCAAGAATTCAAGAGGTTGTTCCACTACTTTCTAAAGAAGCAACCTGAATCACTTCCGTGGAAACATACTACAGATATCCCCTGCTTTTCGAAAGTTCCTGTTACACCACTTTGTTTTTACAAAAGGCATACATTAGTACCTATTTTTGCTAACTAAAAGAAATCCAAAAAAAGGATTTTCACGTTTACAAAAAATGGTGAAAAGCGCAGATACTGTTCAGTGTCTGTTTCTCAGCGAGCTGTTATGGAAGCAGTGTGCCCCTAAGCAGGGGGAATGGCACACCACAGTGGCACTGTCCTGCTGAGCACCTCAACAGAACACACTTTTCCACGTTGTGAATTCCTTGTCACCCTGGATGGCAAAATCCAGAAACACCATACATTTATTGGACTAAGCTTATCAGCCAAAGTAACTGAGAGCATATGATCCAGGGGAACTTTGAAGTCCAGAAAACATTAATATTTGCAATGAATTCTATCACAATATGAATTTCAGGAAAGATAAGGAGGTTGGGTACATAGTAGTGAATCCTGCCACTTGGTGAGGGGTTGTGTAAAATCTGTCTGAGATTTGAAGTTTAAAAATAATTGTGCCATTATGGGAGAAAGGGAACTAACATTTATTGACCACCGTATGTGCCGGTCCCTTTACGCTGCCTCCTTTAACCAACACTAACATTATTATTTTCCTTTTACAAATGACAGAATGGAAAGTTTGAGAAGTAACCTAACCAAGGCCACATAGATAATGGATGGCAGAGCTAGGTTTTGTCTACGGGTTGTCTGCCTCTAAGGCCTAATCGCTTAACCTCTGTGCGTTAATGCTCCTTTTCACATTGCTTGCCTAAGGACAGACAGACAGAGGTACAGAGACAGGTAGATATAAACGCAAGCCTTCTGCTGTAGGTCCAGTGATCATCCCATCCCTCTCTCTCAGCCTGACACCAGACTGCGGGGATGCAGAGATCACAGTGGACGGGGAAAGACAGGGTGTTCGACTTCCTCTTATGTGACTTACTAATGTCCAGGGCAGCTAGGAAGCCTGTGCTCCCTCCTCTATGAAATCTTATTGTTTACCAATTTCATATGCTATTTCTGTGATGGCTCACTTGTGAGCCAATTTTTAAAAGTAAATATCTTGGGGCACCTGGGTGGCTCAGTCATTAAGTGTCTGCCTTTGGCTCAGGTCATGACCCCAGGGTCCTGGGATTGAGCCCCACATCGGGCTCCCTGCTCGGCGGGAAGCCTGCTTCTCCCTCTCTTGCTCCCCCTGCTTGTGTTCCCTCTCTCGCTGTGTCTCTCTCTGTCAAATAAATAAATAAATAAATAAATAAATAAATAAAATCTTTAAAAAAATAAATAAAGTAAATATCTTGGGGTGCCTGGGTGGCTCAGTTGGTTGAGCGTCTGCCTTTGGCTCAGGTCATGATCCCAGGGTCCTGGGATGGAGCCCCGCATTGGGCTCCCTGCTTAACGAGGAGTTTGCTTCTCCCTCTCACTCTCTGTGTTTTCTCTCTCTTTCTCTCAAGTAAATAAATAAAATCTTAAAAAAAAATAAAATAAATATCTTGTTTCTCTTTCCAAACCGTTTTTAAAGTTGTTTATAGTCAGCCAAGAACAGACACATACACACACGGCAGGACTGAAAAAACACAAGCTGGTCATGGAATGGGAGATTCTTAAATTTCACGGCATGACCTTGAGGCCAGTCTGGGCAAACTAAGTTTTCCCAGAGTCCATCTTCCCAGATGCCTTTTACTTATACTGCACATACTCACAACTCTTGAAGCAAATGAACCCTTGCTCCCCCAATATTCCATTTATTTTCAAATACGTATTGAGGGGATATTACTGTGAGCAAGTCATGGAGTTAGGGTTACAAAATACATGTGCAATGGTCTCTGCACTGGGAATGCTCTGAGTTCTTCTTACCAATCTTGGGTAAGGGCCGATGCTCTCTCTTTCGGTTCAGCTGCTCCTCATGTCCTGAGTGGAGGCTTCCAGCTTCCTCCAAAGACACCACCCTGGGTTGAGTCTCCACCTGCTCTGGCTGAAAGTCCGTTACCTCCCATGCTGCTCCCAGTGGGACCTGCTTCTCTGAGTGCACAGGACTGCTAACCTGGGAAATAAAGCCAATGCCATAATGGAAAGAGGGAGGAAAACAGGGCCCGATGAAGACCAAACTTCCCCCAGAAAGATATCAAAGAAGGATAGGAGATGTGAGAAGGAATGAAAATTTCACTCCATGCCCAGTGGAGTCTCCAAGGGCATTGGGTGAACAGTATTGTCCAGAAGTCTAGGGATAAGGGAACAGGAGAGTGCTCTTTATTAGTACACAGAGGGGAGAAAATCTATCAGGAGTAAAATACACAGCCTCCTTAGTATTAGAATAGATGCTGAGTCCTCACATCTATTAGGTTCAGAAAGCAGGAAATTAATTCACTAGTGAGCTGAAAACATAAAATTAATTTCCACATGTAGTGTCTACCCCTGACCAACACAGCAGCCTACTGATAGGTCTTTATATGAATACAAATCCCGTGCAAGGTGAAACTGCACATCTTGCAAATCTTGCAGGATTTCATAAGGTTAATGAAAGGGCTGTTGAAAACAACTAGAAGACCACGAAATGCCACCGATGGACGAAGATTTGGTGGTTAAACTAGAGAAGAGTGACAAGGATGATGGCATCGAGGGCACCTCAGAAGACACACATTCAAATACTAAAGGACTAGAGAGGGCCCTGGGATAACTGATGAAGTTTGTGCTTTCTTTCTTTGCAAAAATAGCCCTCTTTAGAATCAGGCTGCAAGAGTCCAACCCTGCAAAGCATAATGCATTGTTCTCTCATATAATTTTTGGGAAGCATTATGCCAAAGATGTGAACAAATACTTGGATGCATAATGTTTAACTTCATTTGCAAAATACTATTTCAAGCAAGTTTTTTCCTATTTAATATTAAATTCCGATCCTCTTTTAAGTTGATTCACTTTAAAGGTCTCTCGTTAGTACCATTTCTCCCTCCATAATAAGCCCTATGCGCAAGGCATGCCCCCCGCTTCCCCCCCCCACCCGCCTTACCCATCTCCTTCTTTCTAAATACAACAATTTGGAAAATCCTCTCTCACCTGCTGTCTTAGTCGTCCAGTCTCTTTCTCCAAATGTATTACCAGGGCCACCGCCTCCTCTCCACTTTCCGGACACTGCTTCCGTGCCCACGCCTGAATCTTCTTCGGTAAAATGGTGAGAAACTGTTCAATCACCAGCAGTTCAAGGATCTGCTCCTTGGAACGCATTTCTGGCTTCAGCCACCGGCAGCAAAGTTCCCAGAGTTTACTGAAAGCTTCATGGGGTCCAGTCACATCCTCGTAACAGAAATGCCTGAAGCATTTGCGAAAGGTCTCGGACTCAGAGCTCTCCGATCCTTCCAGAGTGGGTTCCGCTGCCCACTCGGGGTCCTTTTCCATCTTCATTATTAAGCATTCCTCCCGCTCCAGCGGAGCGTCGATCAGAGGGTCCAGGGATACAGCCATGCTCCAACCCCGGCGTCAAACTCACCTCTAGCTCAAAGTAGACTCATAAATCTCCGAGAACTCCCTGCTTAATGATTTTGGAAGTGTGGGAAGGCAGGGAAGTGAAAAACGGCAGTGTCAGCAGGAACAGGGTACTCCGGGCTCATTAATCGAATCTATCCTAGGCGCTTGAAAAGGAGAATTTGTACCCTAAGGTTCCAAACCGGCCTCTTCTCCAAACAAGATGTGGTTTTCCAGAGTGCAGCTCTTTTAGTGCAATGTCCGAAAGAGCAAGAGGGGACCGGGAGAAAATCACGGGGGACGGAAGGAGGGGTGGGCGGGGGCGGACGGCGGGCCGGGAGGGGGCTGGGCTCCGGGGAGGCGAGGCCCCGGGTGGGTGGGGCCGGATGTGCAGGCCCCGCCCGGCCGGGGATTCGGGGTTCGGGGTGCAAGGCTCGGCCTGGGCGGCGCGCCCAGGCCGCTGCGGGTGGCCTGTGGGGCCGGCGGTGTCCGAGGCCAGCGCCGGGCTCTTCTGGGCCCAAAGCGGTCCCGGCCGTCCTCAGGAAACCTCCGCACGCCGAGGAAAGGCCGCGAGGCGGTTCCGCCCCTGAGAGGAGAGAAGCCGCGGGGACCCAGCGGGACCTCGCACAAGGCGGCTGTTGGCCCTGCGCGCGCGGCCTGTTCCGCTCCGTCCGCGGACTGCGCGGGGGGCGCTGGGAGCCTCGGCCACGCATGCGCCGCCCGCGACTGCGCGCCGCGAGGTCCGCGGAGGCTTCCTCGCGGGCGAGGGACTGGGGAAGAGGGCTGCGTGGTGGACTCTCGCGAGACGCGCAGCGCAGCGACTCGCCGCTGAGGGACTTTAGGAGTGAGGAGGGGCGCGGAGAACTTCGCGGGGCGGAGGGACACAGTCGGAGGCCGAGCGGACATTTTGAGGGAGAAGATGGAACAGTGTGGAAAAGGAGAGTGGGAGGCTTCCCTCAGCCGTGGAGTCTGGGAGGCGGGGAGACGTCTCTGAGGTGAAGGACACTACTGGGGAGGCGGCGCAAAGGCCTTTCTGCAGCGGAAAAGGGAGAGGGAGCGGGGACTCCTTTGCCTGGCGGAGGGGTCTGTCGCAAAGGGTACGGAAATCTCCGGGGCATCCTCTGACGGTGGCGACTGTCGCGGATTGCTGCCCTCGCTGAGGGGCTCGGGCCCCGCTGTTCTCCTGCGGGAGCACCTGGGCGACCCCGTCCTGTCCCCTAGGGGGGCGCGGGGCCGCCCCATCCGTCCCTCAGGTGAGAGCACCTGGGGCGGCGCGGGTGTGCCCTGTCGGTTCCCCCTGCGGGGGAGCACCTGGGGCGGTCCCACCTAGGCCCCCAAGGGTGGCGCGGGGGCATCTGGGTGGCCCCGTCCCGTCCCCCAGGGGCGGCGCGGGGGCGCCTCGTCTGACCCCCGATGTGGGAGCACCTGGGGCAGCCCGGTGCAGGTCCCCAGAGGCGGCGCGAGGGCGTCCCAGCTGTTCCCTACCCTCCTCCGTGGGAGCACTTGTGTTTGGCTCCATCCCGTACCCCAGGGCGGGCAAGGGGACGCCCCGTCGTCTGGGGGGTCCTACAGCCCTAGCTCTGGGGAAGTTGATGTGGCTGAACGTGAACCAAGGGGGTCTGGGCCCAGAGTCCCCGCTCCTCCCTCCCCACCCGCCACTGTGGTTGCTTGGAGGAGCTGTCCTTGCCTCCCAACTTCTGTGAAACTCAGAGCGATGCTTGCCCGCCCACCCACCCATCCCTTTATTGATGAGGTGCCAGGCAGTGTTTTAGGCACTTAGCATACATCAGTGGGCAAAACAAAAATCCCCGTTCTAGGAGTAGGTGGCCTATTAGAAAAGAAAGCTTAGTGACTTTTTTTTTTCTCAGCAGAAGTCTTAGTTAAAACTCAATCTACAAATTCTAGCAGCCCAGAAGCTAGGAGTATCATTTATGTGACAGGCATTAGGTGAGGGAGGGTCAGAGAGAATCTATGGGGCACCCAGTGTATGCCAGGGGTTGTCTTTGCACCGTTTACTTTTCTTTCTCTTTAGTATTTTTGGAGCATCTATTTTGTGCCAGGCATGATGATAGGTGGTGAGCAAAAGCGGGATCCATGCCACTGTTGCACTTCCAAGTCTGCTGGGAGGGGTAGGCATTAATCAAATAATCAAATAAGCTAAGGTACAATTGTAACTGCCACAGGTACTCCCCAGAAGAGGAACGTGGTGGGAGGATCTACCTATATTAGAGGGATTTGACCTAGTCAGGAGGTCTGGGTAGGTTTCTTTAAGAAGTATTGCTAAGGATGAGATCCCAAGGAGGAGTAAGAGCTGGTTAGGCAATGTCTAGTCCTCACAGAAGTCCTATAAAGCAGATTTGGTTGCCTCCACTTTACAGTTGAGAACATTGAGATCTCAGTGAGGTGATGTAACCACCCAGGGTAACCTCAGGTTAATGGCAACTCAGGATTCAGATTCAGATAAGAAAAGGGTCTTTTATGTGCTCATTGGGCCATTTGGTGGTTTTAGGAGAGGCAGGTGTCACAAGCAGCTCAGGGACATTGGAGAGTACAGGTCACAAGCTCACAAGCCTGCAGAGCTCAGGCAGGTAACATAAATGAGTGAAGTAGGCAGAGTATGAGACAGTAGGGAATGGTGGGGACTGCAGCAAGCTGGAGGCCACATTTTCTGCCTAAATTAAACAGCCAGGTGGAATTCACACACTTGGCAAATACTTTTATTTGTTTCCCCCACCAGAATACTAGCTAAATGAAGCAGGACTTTTTTTTTTTTTTTAAGCCACATGTGCTGTGTGCTTAGAGCCGTACTTCACAGAGTAGGCACTCAACCCCATCTGCTGCCCATAGCTTCTGAGCAGTTCTTGCCATGTGTGCACAGTTTCACAGATTTTGAAGCACTTTTACATTCCTTTTCTCATTTTATCCCTCATTCTCTCTTTTGGCTCCTTATTTGCTTCTGACATGGCTGTTGCAATGAAAAGTTCTTAATGCCCCCCCCCCAAATATTTAGGTGTGTCTTTCTTTTGTACCTCTCCACCCTCTTCATATTTTAGCTCTTCTCCATCCTAATGTGCTTGGCATTATATCTTGGTTTCCTCTACTTATCTAGCTCATTTATATTTAAACAGTGTCTTTTTGTTTTGTTTTTGTTCTGATTAAGAGCTTTAGTCTATTGACTTTGGGCCCACCATCACAAGCACCTCCCACACTCAGCCTCAGTTCCTGCAATTCTAGGTTGCCCCAGCCACTTCTTGTCAGGTGGTGCATGAAAAGTTTCATTTCTTAGAAACTGCTTTCCTGAAACATCTCGCTTCTCAAGAAAGTGATCATCCGTAGACATCTGAACTTCCTATTCCATCACATGGACTTCCAAAAGACAAAATCTCACCTGCATGGGAAAGTTATAGCCTAACCTCCTCAAGTTCCTCTTGGAGCAGAGGGTACTGGGACATGTTCATTATCTCTCAGATGTAGGATCATAAGATCTTTAGGAGTAGTTTGTTGTGTTTTGTTTTGTTTTGTTTTTGTTTGGTGGCCTCTCAGTAACACACACCAGTATTTTTTTTTTTTTTAAGTAGGCTCTATTGTCGGTGTGGAGCCCAATGTGAGGCTTGAATTCACCACCGTGAGATGAAGATCTGAGCTGAGATCAAGAGTCCGAGGCTTAACTGACTGAGCCACCCAGGTGCCCCATCAAATGCAAAGAAGTAGAATTAACTCTCATGTTCTCATCTTCCAGTTTTAACAGTTAGCAACTCAGGGCCAATTTTATCCTCCCTGTATCTCTACCCACTCCCCAATGCTGGATATTTTGAAGCAAATCCCAGACATCACATTATTCATCTGTAACTATCAGAATGTATTGCTAAAAGACAGGGACTCTTGTTTTAAACATAACTTCAATACCATCAAACGCTTCCTGTTAGCATCAAGAATTCCTTAATACCATCTTTTAAAAACAGTTATTTTTTTGAAAGGTGGTTTGCAAAGAAGAAAGGGTCATAGATGCTGGATAGTAAAAAGAACAGATGTCCTTCACGTTTTCTAATTAGGTGTTTACATTTATTTTTGGGTGAAAATGTTGGTGACTTGAGAAAAGAAGATCAGATTGTGGAAAAAATAGTGAATCAATATAAGTCAATAAATCCAAAGTATGAAGCAGATCATACTACTTGGAGACGTCTTGGAGGCATGGTTATTTTCTTAAGACTCTGTCCTCTGAGTTGACACAAATCCAGACCCACTGTCTTCAAATGATCCCCAGAGGAATATTCACACAGCCTTTCCTTGGTAGTATATCTGAAATATCTGATATTACATTTGTCGTTGTACAATCTGCCTTAGAGTGACCTTTTCCATGCCATTTCTCTGTCCATGGTGCTGATCCACAAGCCCTTTGGCCAGCAACCACAGGGGTTATAGCTTGCTTTAAATCCCACTGGCCAAAAGTAAGGTTACTACAAAAGTAAACATTAACTATACATTAACTAGATCCAGGAAGTGCTATCTGTGCCTATGCTAAGTTAAAAAAAATCCGAGCTAGAGAATTTCCTAGTAATGCCAGTTATTTCTCATTTCTTTAATGCCCTGAAAATTTTATCCATTTCTTTAAAAATTGAAAAGTGGACATGAAAAGGTTGAGTATATTGGTGTGCCTATTGTGGACACAGTATTTTCAAATGTGATTTATTAACCAAGCCATAACTAGGTGAAATAGTTTTCCTTTTCACAAATTAAAAATCACCTCTCCCACTGGTTAATTAATGATGGTCAGATAGCTGACAGAATAACAACTGTTAAAATGTTCCAGTTCCTTTCACTCCACTGAGAAATACAATAATGAAAAAATTTCAACTATATATGAATATTTAGTAGTCAACAATTTTTTTCTGTATATCTATGAGGCACCATGCTAGGCACTAGTGGGATAAGTATAAGACATAATCCTTTTACTCAAAATATTAAGAATAAAATGGGAAAAATCAGTCATAGAATTGTCATATATTGGATATAGTGTCCTTCATCTCTTCCTTTAGTTTAAAATCTAGTTTGGGGTGCCTCGGTGGCTCAGTTGGTTAAGTGTCTGCCTTCAGCTCAGGTCATGAGCCCAGGGTTGTGGGATCAAGCCCCACATCGGGCTCCCTGCTCAGTGGGGAGTCTGCTTATCCCTCTGCCCCTCCCCCTATTGTGTTCTCTCTCAAATAAATAAAATCTCTAAAAAAATAGAATAAAAAGAAAATCTAGTTTGTCTGATACAAGGATGGCTACTCCAGCTTTCTTTTAATGTTT